AACCGACCACAAAGAGTGATCGGATTCTGTTGATTTTCGGCACCGTTTCACGTTGGTTAGATACGATTTGGTTTTCCCTGGGAGAGAGAGTTCCTAGCTTTGAGAGTACGTAGCAGTCAATTTAGACAAATCTACAGATTTTTAGCGATTCTGGAGCTTGCTAATTTTGAAAATCCTCTGGACATTACTGCTATTAGAAAATCTGGGGCTAAAGTATCGCGGCAAACACCTGAAGGCGAAGCATCGGTGCCCGAAGACGGGATTTACATATAACTCTCTATTGAGAAAAACCTCATCAGCGACAACTTCTTCCATAATAAAATTAAAAAATACGAAGCAAGCTGGTAGTTTTCCCAGAACTGATAAAACTCTTTACGGTGTATGAGAAAGGTGCTGAATTTCTGAAAGTTTCATTTTCAAACATACCATGATTCGAAAAGGAACTGCGAAAAATCCGTTACCCAAGAAAAAATTGTTGACGAAACGCGGATGATCCAATGTTTGTGTTTGATTCATCGTAATTTTTCAAGCATGGCAGGATTCCGGAGAAGATTTGTAATGTAGCTGCGCTAACCGTTATGAAGCCTATAAAAGGGCTATCTCATAAACGTAGTCTCGAAGTTTGCAGAACTTGGCGCTCGTACACTGTCGGAACTTTCAGCGACAATACTGTTCCCGATAAAGGCATAGTTTTATTTAAAGCCTTTTTGGTATGACGACAATTATATCCTTCGTACGCTTTATGTTTAGACGCTTGTTTTCGTGTCCTACCGATACTCGGTTGATTGCTATAGGAGCTTCTTACACGTTAATTTATGTTTAGAGTTTTACGTTCTGTGCGCTGTTAAGCATTACTCAGGATAGACTACTTTTTCTAGCACGAACATCTGCGCTTCTTCGGACGGAGGTGTTACTTTTTTAGTAGATCTGCCTATTTTCGGGAACGGTTGAATGGATTCTTTAACGAGGTACTTGAGTTTTACTAAAGTGCTCCGAAACTAGGCTTCGGCTAGTTGTGACGCTAAAGAAAAGGGACTTGCTGAGTGAAGGCTGAGGGTGGTAGCCATCGTATGAAACTGTGCTTTGGAACGGAATAGACGCTACGTGACTGTTAGGTAGAAATTTTCGGGCTAATAATTAAGAGCTAATGGGAGACGGAAAAATCAGTCGCAGAGTTAGCAACGTCGGTCGGAAGTAGATTGTCCTCTAGCACTGGAAAATAGCTATTTGTCTGAACCGTGTTGAATACAGAACGAAGCAAAAACATATTTCTGGAAACGTTTATTGGTATCAGTATATGCTGATGCCAAATTCTCGTCAGCAAATTTAGGGCGCCCGTGAGTAGGAACTTTGGCGACTTCGAAATTGATTTCACTCTAAATAGAAATGTTTCGACTTTGCAAAAACAAATTTTATACAGCGTTCATTTACGTTGTTCAAGGTTCTTTGTTAGTTTCAGCCGACGCTTGGTCGCAACTAAGCCATTGTGCTAAACTTTTGGTCATGACATACTGCTAACCGACCATGAACGCTGGTGTTTAACCGTTGCACTCGATAACTCTTTCCCGGCTGTATAATATTATTAATAATAAAATTAATAGCCGGAGACTTAGTACAATATATATCGATCACGTTTTCTATTTGGTGAAATTCTTATAGTCTAACTTTCTGACCGTTATCTACACCGTAGGCAAGATTTTCCTAAGATCGTCGAATTCGATTTGTTAAAAAATGATCGGTATACTTAGAAATTATAAGAGATCTCATTATACATTCACGGTTTTAAAATCTGCTAATTTACTTAGTAAAAAAACGAAGAGAGTTGATTCCAAAATTCGTTAGCTGAAACACTCCATGAAACTGTTACAAGACAGAGGTTTCTGAAACAGGTAGTCTGACGAATTAAGTATGCCAAAAATAGGCAAATTACGCGCGGACCGAATGAAAAAGAAACGTGATAACGTTGGGCGCTCTAGACATCGCTTTAAGGTTTGTTACTTACTGTTTCACTTATTATCATACAACGAGTGTATCTCGATATAGGATGTAGTCATGACCATGTGTGACACGAAAAGATCGTGTAACAAAACAGCTACGAGCTGCGGAGATGCCTCTGTTTGATTTGACCTTAATGAGTAAAATAAGTTCTCAAGTAAAATACGAGTCAAAACGAGTAAAATAAAAAAAAAAAAAGAAACGATTCCACCAGGGAGTAATCAATTTTTCGTGGGGCCCATGTTTGTAGCCGTTTTAGGTCGTACAGAAAATCCAAAACTGGTTTCCGTATGACGTCGCAGAATAATTTTAGTGGCCACTTTGAACTCTATTTCTAGTACTGTACCTATACGTCCGTAAGCCAATACACTTCAAAAAAACATTGAGAAACTGGAAAATTTTTTCGCTAACTTTCATTAAGCAGTGAACCAAGGTTTTTTGTGCTAAGTTCTAGATCAGATTCCCGGAAATGTTTAGTTACATCTGTTTCATTTAGTTTCTTCTTAAATTCAAAAGCTGCCAAAACAGCTTGAAGTACTTGTTTTGTATGCAGCGATAACGAACTGAGATGACTGCTCAAAGAGGTTCCGCAAGGTTTAAGATGGACATGCAGGGTATATACCACAGTCGGGCATCGATGAGAACTTCAGATGGCAAGCAATTCATTTACGAGCCGAGAAGAGTTATGATCATCGAACTGTTGTGAGGCACCTTTAATATATGGAAATTTATCGATAAGCAGGATCGTTGGTAAGTCCTGGTGGGAGCGTTATGAAAAAGCCCGGGTTTTAGTGGCGGCCCATAATGCCCGGCACCAACTAACACACAGCTACGCAACACGTAGATTTCTACAAGTTACGTAGTTTCTACAAGCGTCTCCACATCGATTGAAAAAACAAGGACTACGATTTGTTGATAGTGATGTCTTAAAAGTCGATAAACACTGAGTAACGTCGAGGAAGATGTCAACAACGATCCGTTATGTTCCACCTGCATCGAATGGAAGGTCCAAAGAACAAAGCGAAGGAGTCAGCCAGGGGGATTTTCGATGACTTTCTTTTGAAAGGGTCTCAAAATATGGCTGGATAAATTTCCAAAGACCAGCCATGATTTGGTGTTTAATTCAACCAAAACGCCGCACTTTGTCTGTCTGTGTAACAGGCGGACACTAGTATCTAATATGCCGTATTTTCCACATACATTTACGCAGAGATCAGGAAATGCTAAAGTGCGTGGGGCTGGAACTCCAACTAGCCAGGACAATGCTACGGCAGCAACTTTTCAAAGGCCTGGAAAACTCTTCAGGAACACTACACGTCACACACCGCAGGCAGTTGTTCCGTAAGTAGTGTTGTAGCTCTTTCATTCTCTTAAATAATGAAATCATTAGAAATATGCGCTGAAAATATCTCGTTTCTCAGTTTGGCAGTTACGACACATCTTAGCGTGATAACACACATACACGTACGCACACATGCACGCCCATATGCACACGTGTACACGCACACACACACATGTACACGCGCACACACACACACACACACACACACACGCACACACACACACACACACACACACACACACACACACACACACACACACACACACACACACACACACACACACACACACACACACACACACACACACACACACACACACACACACACACACACACACACACACACACACACACACACACACACACACACACACACACACACACACACACACACACACACACACACACACGCACACACACACACGTGTACACGCGCACACACACGCACGTGTACACGCGCACACACACGCACGTGTACACGCGCACACACACATGCTCACGCACCCATGCTCACGCACACATGCTCACGCACACATGCTCACGCACACATGCTCACGCACACATGCTCACGCACACATGCTCACGCACACATGCTCACGCACACATGCTCACGCACACATGCTCACGCACACATGCTCACGCACACATGCTCACGCACACATGCTCACGCACACATGCTCACGCACACATGCTCACGCACACATGCTCACGCACACATGCTCACGCACACATGCTCACGCACACATGCTCACGCACACATGCTCACGCACACATGCTCACGCACACATGCTCACGCACACATGCTCACGCACACATGCTCACGCACACATGCTCACGCACACATGCTCACGCACACATGCTCACGCACACATGCTCACGCACACATGCTCACGCACACATGCTCGCGCACACATGCTCACGCACACATGCTCACACACTCACACGCGCACGCGCACGCACACATGCTCACGCACACATGCTCACACACTCACACGCGCACGCGCACGCACACATGCTCACGCACACATGCTCATGCACACATGCTCACACACTCACACGCGCACGCGCACGCGTGCACATACATGAGTAGCGTCAGTAAGGTATCGAAAACAGCCTAATTGAAAAAAGTGGGCATTCTTTACCCAAAAAGATCTATTAAGTGGGATGGGTCTTGTTCCGCGTGTTCACACTTTTTCTATTCAAGTGTCAAGATCTTTGGCGTTTTTTCACCTGATTTTGGCAGGACAAGATCTATCCTCCCAACTTTTCGACCTTCACCTGAAAGGCTGCTCATTGAATATTTACCAGATCCTGGTCTTTTTATTCCACATCGTCGTCCGCCGTTAGTCATCCCGGATCCTGTAGTAGAGCAAATTCTACAATATCTGACATACCAGGACTTGCTGAATCTTGAACAAGTTCATAGCGCCATTCAATCTGAGGCACGTTCCAACTGGGCATGGCGTCCACACTGTATTGATTTTAACGTAACTACTCTGCCGCATTATATTTCGGTAAGCATAGTGGGCAGATTTGTCGTTCACTGCTGTAGATCCTCTATTTCTCATCGTCTGTTGCCCAATTTTTAATGTTGCTTACCCAACATAGATTAACGTGTTTTCCTGTATGTGCACATGTAAGGCATGAGATTGTCCTCTGTAAGGGCTTAAAATTTGATCTAGGTTTTTGTTAAAAGCGTTTGAGTACCCTGCTGACAGAACTGAATGAAAACTGCCATTTTCGTAATAATAATAAACGCTGCTGATCTATGCCACTTTCGTTAAGTGTATGTCCGAACTCTTATTAGCAGTACGGTTACGAGCGTTTGTATAGTTAACTTTTTAATGCTGATACATTCTATCACAAAACGTGCCAATGATTGTGAGCAGCCGAACCGACGGGACGCGTGGCGACAAGCGTTCGAATACGAAATTCTTAGGCCAGCTCAAAACTGGGTACGTAACAGGGCTTCTTCACGCAAGGTTATCGAAGCTCATCCGTACGCCTTCTTGGAAACGCTAACCTTAGCTGGTAACAGAGCGATTTCCACTGGTGACGACGGTTCGATAACTTTTTGGGATAGTGACACCGGTACGTTTTCAACAATTTTTCATAATCGGGTGAAAGCATTTAAATTCGTTAGCAATGCGATGAAAAAAAAACATTCTAGAAAATCGAATATGGCGAGAAATTTAAACGCTAAAGGCGCGAAAATACAAATGCTAGATCGTCACTATTCATTTAGTCTTTACATTTTCACACCCGACTTCGTATTGTATATAGGTAAGGTAAAAGGGAAGTGTACACTTGGTATCCGAGGGATGTCACGATGTATAGCATTATTGAAATTGCTTTTAGCTGTTGTATATACGTTAGGTTTCCATAGACCTGCACTCAGGTGATAAAACAGTGTAAACGTTCATCAAATATGCTTTCATTTTCGATTTTCATAGGCGAATCTATTAGTCACTTTGATATGGACGTCAACGATGACGGCAACTACTGTCAACTCATACATGTTTTCGGACGTCGAGTTCTCACAGGCAGTCGTTCCGGGGAAATAATGGAATGGGACCTGAATACAGGGATGCCTGTCAATAGGATCCCGAGCCCCGTTGCTGGAAACATTCGCAGTTTTGCCATCTATAAAAATTGGTGAAGAATCTTAATAATTTATCGTTAGATTTTATAACAATCTCCATAGTGAAGTACTTTTGAATGTAACGAATGATCTTTACTAATTTCCACCAAAGGCAATAAAGACTAAAAACAAATAGCGCCTAGACAAGTTAGAATGAATTCAGCGGCACCAATCCGACGAGTTACGGACGTGTCCGTAAGTCCATTAGTGTAGATGACGCCGCAAAAATCAAACGTAAAAAGCATGAATCTAGTGAACCAAGCTTAGGCATAGGAGACACGCACGACCTTCGCACTAGAATTTTTTGCCCTCCTATCACTTGTACGGGGCTGATGCAATCGATTCAATTATGTTGCTTCAGGTAAAAAAAAAAGTAATGACGGTAGCGGGGTTGTCATAGCGGACGGAAATATCAACGGAACTGATAGGCTATGATCTATATAGTGAGATCTGGATTGCAGAGGACTCGTTACTCACGAATAACCATTTCATTGTAGTGTGGTATAGTAAGAGTCCTTACTATCTCGAATAATAATAATCTGGTTGCTAATGAAGTGCTTGATTTATTGAAGCTAGCGAGTAAACTGTTACCTATTACGAGAGTTGATATGTTTTCTCCGAACTTAGCGAGCGGTCTTACCTCTCCCCGAACTAATTACATTTTCGGTGCTCGCCGGTCGGCCTGGTACAACGTATAAAATAACAGCATGCGTACGATCCCTTAAATATTATGCAGGGCCGCCTACTTGGATGAAGTTGGCGATCTTCATTTATGTGACCTGACAGACGAAGGACGAGGGCAAAGGCTATGGGTAGGCCTCGATGCCGTGAACGTTCTTCTCAACTCTAGAAGCGTTGTAGTTCACAGGGCAAACGGTTGGGTTCTAGGCGTATCCTTGCAAGACTACGCGATAACACAATTTGTTGGTGCCTATCAAACGAGGCCATTGGAGGTCCTCTTGGACGACATTTATTTAGTCTTAGCCGATCAAAATCAAATGCGAGTGTGGAACGCGCAAACCGGCGCAATTATTCGCGTATATGTACTCTTCCAGTTTCCATTTATCACCGATCGCGGAGGACACCAAACGTTCCTCCACCACATGTACAAAGGTTGGGTCGCGGTTAGCAACTCGGACATGCTTTGGCTGTTCGACCTCGGCAACGACAGGCTTGTCCTCAGAGTAGCACGCGGTGCCAGCACCGTGCAGTCCGCTAGAGTTGGCGACTTGTTTCTCGTTGTTGGGGACAAAATGGGTTACGTAAGATTATACAATCGTGACACTGGAGCCTTCCTCTGCAACCTATGCTCTCCACCCGAGCCAGAGTGCGTGTACAAGATTCGGATCGACAACAAACGACTGCTGGTGGGAGGACTTAGGAACGGAGTGTCAACACTAATGGTACGTGGCCATCATTTACTATCACTCATCGCGTAGTTTCTGCTTTGTTGTAATTTTTTTGATTACAAATGAGAACAGAAAATCAAAACCCTATCGGGTAATCGAGAAAGCGTTGTTAAATAACTTGTTGTTAACGTCAACACCATGTTTCAGTAAACACAGTCCTCGCTAGTCGAGTGGTTTCTGCGTCCTCTTAATGTCACATTGTCAAGGGATTTATGCAAATATCGAAACAGAAGATAAGCCCATAATGCATGATCGGGGCTATGCGCGCGACTGATAAGTTAGAAATACTTTCTTTGCCGTCGGTTCGGGCTTTGCCACAGTCCGTCGTTTGATCCTGTCAGCGCTTAAAAATAGGCCCCCTTTTCCTGCGTTTTGTTTTGCAGATGAAAGTACGATGAAGTATAGTTCCGTTGTTTACGTCAATGCACATGACCTTTTTGTGAGCTCCGTTAGCTTTGTTTCCCAGACTCACTTCTCCATGATTTGAATGAATTACAACTGGCCGCGCGGATTGCCGTATGTAAGAGTGTGAATTTATCTATCAACACCACCGCTTGTGTGACTCAAATGAATCCAGGGATAGAAGTCGTAGCAAATTGGCCAGTGCATGCAAAGTAATTAGAGAAGCTTCGAACGTGGTCTGACACAGGTCTTTCCAGCGTCAGTCTACAAGGCTAGAGCATGACAAGGGATAGGGGGTATGTGCACAGACCCTTTGCTTTTGTAGGGTCCTCCTTCGTTTCGGGTGTAGGAAAGAAAGGATAAGCAAGCAAGGAAGGACGTGTAGGAAGAGCGTAGAATAATAAGAAGGTTAACAGATGGGTATCTTTCCCTCAACGGGTCCTAAGGCCGCTTAGCATAGGGAAGAGGCGAGCTTATTGTCAGACATGCTTTTTTACGGAAGAAGGAAACTGTGGGACATTCACAGCTAGCAGCATGATGATCAGGTCTCGACGAAACGATATAGTAGGGAACACCGTCCGTCGAATTAGTCTCGAGCGGTCACTGTGTCGTTTTCAGTATTATATAAATAGTACGAGACTTTATAAAAGGTCTCGTGTGGCCGGATTTCTACTAATAGTCTAGAGCGTCAATGGCAAGGAATTCGATCAATAACAAGTATCCCACTGGCTGGCATTTTTTATATCATTAGGCCATTAGGTATAATTATTAGGAATCTAATAATTATAATGGTTAAGTAAAACATACAAATAACATGCTCCTTTTTGTCGGCAGTTCGTTAACTTCGCGGATTCGCAGCCACCTCCACTATCGTTACTGGTGGACCCAAGTGATTTTGAAGAAACTACTGATGAAAGACAAAATTAATTGACCCGAGCTATCAATCAAGCTACCCAATAAACTTATTATTAGTTATTTGATTTTACAAATATATGGACGTGAAGTGTCGATTTCCTCAGATTCCGAAAAATCGGAACTGGTCATAGAAGTTTGGAAATTTTTTCTTCACATGATGACCGTACATGGCTATGATATTAGCGAAGTTTGTGCTAATTAGATACTAACTTACGTTACGTAAGTTAGTTGTCGTTGCTATCGGAAAACGACTGGACAATCTATATAAATACAATATTAGTGGTCGGTACCGTCGCTGATTAGTAATTAGCTCCCCGATTCACATACGGCGGTCGTATTCCATGTGCATAGACTTCTCTGGCCAATAACTTAGACAACTCAAGTATCTATGATTGACGGTCTTAGACAACTCAAGTATCTATGATTGACGGTCTTAGACAACTCAAGTATCTATGATTGACGGTCTTAAGTATCTATGATTGACGGTCTTAGACAACTCGCCATTAACCGATCTATGTAAAAAATAATAAAACTCTGTAATGAGCAATCTATTGCGCAAAACCGTATTTGATACGCAGCCAAAAAGTCTTCAGTTGAAAACGATCCGGCCAATGTTAGATTGTGTATGCCTAATCATAAAGGAGTTATTATAAAATTTTTGGAAATGGGCACTTACTTCCATCAGACTGAGCAAGGATATAGTGTTTCTGCTGTGATTTTTAATGCGACCAATTTCTTCTAGAGGTTTACAACTACACCAACAACTATTCGTTGGACCAACACAGGCCACTCACATCATATTAGAGATAGGGAAAATTTGTGATGGCCTTCGTGTAACAATGATGATGATGATTATTATTTGTTATTTAGCGTCGCATGACAAAAACAACTGGGAGATTAGAATGTGTAAAATCAGTCGAGCTTTAACACGATAGGATCAAGTGAAGATTTTGTACAATGTCTAAAAGCTCGCAGGGGGCTTTCCACCCGAAACTATTATTAAACCACTACGGCGCACACTTTGAAATTGTGGACAGGGAGGCATTTATTCTACCTATACACAACTTACAGGCGCATGTAACACAGTACATAAAAAGGTATATATCAATTGTATAGTATACAATATTTATTAATGTTCTTCCTTGGGTGACACGGAATCAGAACGATCCAGAAAGCAGTTGTTAATGCCCTGTTACTGATCAGTACGTGTTACGACTATTGATGTACGCTGACAATCTGATACGAGTTCCTAGAGTTTGTTTATTATTGCTATATGTACATATCACGGCTATTGTTTTCGTTTGATCATTAAACGGCTTCTGCGGAACGACTGCAACACAGGTTTTGAGACGGTCAAATGCTACAATTGGATTTCTTTGACATTGCATAGGTAAGCTACTTCATATACTCGAAGGACACAAGAATCAGGTTTGGTGTGCCATGCTAATGAAAACAATCGCAATTTCCGGATCGTCGGATGCCACTCTTAAAGTATGGTCTCTTAATAAAGGGAAATGCATTCGCACCCTCATCGGACACCAACAAACCGTAAAATGTCTGGATGTGCAAAGGGACAGGTAAGTCTTTTTAACCTATATGACAGGACCTGTCAAGAGAACTTTATGAAACGTAATTCGGAAGGGACTTAAATCTTACCAAGTTTTCGTGCGAATTGACGTATGTCATAGGAAGTTCGATATATGCTTGTTCAATTCTAGAAAGAACTCGAGCTTTAATCATTTGATTCCGCCGCTGAGCGCTTCCTTCTCAAGCGTTCCTGCCGAGTGGGTCCTTTAATCAGCTGTTCTGTAGAAAAAAACTTCGTTTGAGAGCCTTACTTGAGTCGACCCGGGAGCAATGAGCTGTTCGCCGTTGCCACTACAAAAGGCAAACTTCTGAGCCCGACGGGAAAAAACTTCCTGGACCTCTTCTTCGCGCCGCCAAACAAGCCAGTTCTCGAATCAGTTGGATAATCTAAGCAGGAGCTGCATTGGTCCAATTGGCGGAACAGACAGCACGGATTCCTATGGGATTTAAACAAAGCTTTCTAATTTGCTTCATTGTGGCGTCTCTATGGTGGATTAGAATTTTTTCGCACACCAGCACGCGCCAACACACTGTATGAATATTACGTACGAGCAGATATTACCGTATTTGTTGGCCTATTTCCAGGGTAGCTTCCGGTTCTAGCGACAGTACAATTCGCCTCTGGAATCATGTCACAGGCGAGTGTATACGGGTGTTTGGTGGTCAGACGGGTCATATGAGCGAAATCAACTGCGTCCGACTAAGTAAGGACGGAAAAACCATCATGTCCGCTGGGCATGATCGGCTGATAAAAATTTGGGGCGATAGTCGAGACAGATGTCTACGTAATTTGGAAGGTCACACCGACATAGTCTGCGCGCTAGAATTCGACGCTGAACACATTGTATCAGCTGGCCTTGATACATCGATCCGAGTTTGGGATCGGACAGGCCACAACCTATACGTCCTTTGGGGTCATGAGGGTCCTACCCGAGCTTTGGTATTAAGAGGCGATATGCTTGTGTCAGCAAACGCCGATCACACCCTTCGACTATGGAATGTTCGACGTGGCAGTTGTGTACAGACGCTTGTTGGTCACGAAGGTGCGATATCATCGGTGCAGGTAAACACAAACTTCATTATAAGCGCATCGTACGATGGCCGAGTAAAACTGTGGGATCGACAAAGCGGTAAATTCCTGCGTGATCTATTCAGCGTAAAGTATTATGGGCTAGATCAGAAGCAGAAGCAAGGCGTACACCACATCTGTGCCGATAATACTTCGCTTGTGGCAGCGTTCAGCACGGGCATGGGAACAAGCCGCGACACCCGTCTTGGAGTACGTATCATGACGTGTCGTAACTGTGGTTGGCATCGTTCACTGTCTAACGCTGTAAAAACGATTGTTCCCCGCGCTAGGGGCGGAAAAATTACGGTAAGCTAAATGCATAACATTTAAGTTATGCATTTAGCTTTTAATGATGACACAAAATAGTATACATAATAGTATAATAAGACATAGTTTACCCGAACTAAGGAAGGTTAATCGATAAGTACATCGTTAAAATGGTGTAACACGTAACAGCACTACATTAATATGCCAACATCAATCAGTAGAAAACAAAGATACTATCTAGGTTATGACCTGTTTAGCAGATCGTGAAGCTTGCTAAAGGCTGCCTCATATATATAGGGCGAGTTTTGCGCGGAAACCTCAGTAGACCTAAAAGGATGAGTAAGAGATCTCTGAAAACTTACTTGTCTGATTATGATAAGACTGTAGACGCGATAACGTCTTTGCGTTCTATACACAGTTGGTTGAATTCGTTAAGCACCTTATACCGTCAGTAATGTGCACTAGCCGTGAGAATATATCTTCAAAAGAAAACTGTTTTTTTATTAGCTTAGCTGTCAAAATTTAATAATATATTATTATTATTAATTAAATTAATCGAAAAATAAAATTATTAATAAAATAATAATAAAAAATAAAAATAAAAAAATCATAATTTGTCTAGGAAAACCAGGTAGTGTTAGACTTAACCCTCCGTACGGCGCATGTTAGATAATTGTTATCGATCACGGTTTCGAATACTTGATTTTAGGGGACGATTACTTTTGTTAGTACATCAAAAAGTCTGTGGGGTTGAACGAAAATTTGACGTTTTCTGACATATCATAGGTAACTCTGACATTAGCATATATGTATATATATAAACTGAGACTAAATCTTTCAATTTCCCGTCGGAACATTTTTAGCTCAATGTGTTTTATAGAGCAAAAATGAAATAAATTTACGGAACGATCCGCCTACCTTAACTCAGTACTAGCTGCTAGATACAGACAGACCTAATCTAAAAAAGGCTTAATCTAATAGATCCTTCTTCCGCACAGATCTTCTACTATGACGTCAATGATTGTCCGGAAGGAGCGGATCAGCGAGAAGCAAGTACAGGCTATTGCGCTTTTGCGTGAATCAACGTTATCGGCTTCCAAAAGAACGTGTTACGGCGTAGACGTTCCTAAGCAAATTTGAGCACTCTTAAAGCGATTTCTACAAAACAGATATTTTGATATAAATATTCTACATTTGATGTGTTACACATCGGCGTTTGTAGGAAGTTTATAGATGCTGTACAATTAGCCAACACGTTGAATTGAAGACGCTTCAATGTGGTTACAATAGATTGAGGCGAAAATATATCTTGGTTTCAGGATGGAACAGACGCGCAATCAATATATTAATCTAACACACTAACATAATCTCTGCAAGAGATGAAATGCAAATTAAGTTAGCAGTCGTTGAAAACTATTTAAGGTTGTACTTCACCGTCAAACCGTTTTATCTAGGACCTTATTATTTTAGAGAAACTCATTATTTTACTGGAAACCTACTTTGAGGAACATCGCTCTTGCATCGCTAGGCATAGAGTGACTTCGCGTTTGTTGAACAGGTGACCAACAACCGCGCAGCAGCGTCCTACCATCATTACGCTTTCAATCGCCTTTTAAGAAACAAACATTCCAGTGAATTAGGACTTTCGACAACTCAGGACCCTTCTGGAATCAACTGATCTTACAGTAGTAGGTTTATTCGAACAAGTTGAATTCACTCGATCACCTAAAAAGGTCCGATAAATTCCCAGATTTTCCTTTTTTTGTCGATCTTTTTTGTCGATTATTCCTCTTTCAGGCAAAAACTTCTCCTCCGGGATTTGAGACCGGGCCTTGTTAACTTAAAAGGCTTCAATTTCCGGACTGGCCTATAGCCTTTGAACACAAAAAATCATTCCGAAGCAGCTGTTAATACCAAACAACGCGCCAGTATTTCCCTTTTTTTTCGTATTCAGAAATCAAAACTATTACACGAAATTGGCAACTCGTAGGATTATAACTCAACCCCGTACCACATGATGCGCACACTGTTAAGATGATAGCGATATCGCGGAAGTCATTTCAAGCGGAATCACCAGCGACACCTACATAATTTTAAGCGTTTATGTTGTTTTTAATCGCTACATACATTACGTACGCGTCCGCGTGCACGCAGAATCAACTAATGTTAGCAAAATACCACACTCTTTTAGCAGTTATGTTTTTACCACTGCCTCACTTTGTAGACGCAATTGCAGAAGTCTCTTAAAAGCCTCTTCTAAGGAAATAGCCACCTGATTCAGGTTTTCACAGCCCTCGGCACAGAGCGAATTCGGAAGCATACAGAGCTTGCAGCAGTCTCGAAGAAATTTCTCATCGAGTGTCGCGTGCCCATGAGAGTGACAATGACGACCGCTAGGGACAGATTGCTTCTGCACCTATGAATACTCAAAAGGGGAGGACACTCACAGACGGAAAGCTCATTGTTTCAATTAGATTGCAAAAAAAAACTTGTTGCAAGAACAGGTCATTGACTGCATTCGGATTAGGCCTAGCTAACCACACCTGAAGCTTATTTCGGCTTACCTTAAGTCGGCCTCAATATACGACAAGTCACGACAGTGAAATTAGAATTAATAAAATTTCGTTGACCATCATAGCAATCGTTGATTCCGAAAGCTTACATTTTATAATCAGGATCAGAGTCATAGATATCAGATAGCATCGGCTGGTGACATTATAAAACAGGGGTAGAGGTTATTATAACAAGAAGGCAACCCTCGTTATTTGTTTGACATGAATTGTCAAATTGTGAATGAACATATTGACATGAATTGTCTGCGATGCGTGTGAAATCAGCTTTGCAGTCCAGCTCTTTCGTTGCTAGGTGTCCTAAACGGAGGTGAGTTAGAGAATGATGTCTCTGGTGTTTCAAGCTGCTCACTGGTGATGATAAAACACAAAAAAACTGTATATTTTACTTTATTATTATCAAATGCTAGCCCGATTGATTGAATGACAGGAACTAGCCAATCTCAAGGTGAGATCAAGTGTGAAAAGGAGTTCCCACTTTCAAATAGAGGATCTGAATTCGGCACCGTAACGTTCGTCTACTATTTTCACGTCAAAGATGATTGAGGCTGTTTAACTAATCAGCGAGTATATGCATGAGGTAATAATATGCGCTTCAATATTTTATGCCCTTATGTCTCCTATTAGATTGTATCCATATAACACATATGGTGGGTGAAATTTGAAAATGTTCAACAATAAAATTCGAAGTTCCGTAATTTGTTGTGCCAAGGAAGCGTGTCGACTAGTTTTTCTACATGCTTTGTTCAAGACCGTCAATCATAGATACTTGAGTTGTCTAAGACCGTCAATCATAGATACTTGAGTTGTCTAAGACCGTCAATCATAGATACTTGAGTTGTCTAAGTACCGTCAATCATAGATACTTGAGTTGTCTAAGACCGTCAATCATAGATACTTGAGTTGTCTAAGACCGTCAATCATAGATACTTGAGTTGTCTAAGACCGTCAATCATAGATACTTGAGTTGTCTAAGACCGTCAATCATAGATACTTGAGTTGTCTAAGACCGTCAATCATAGATACTTGAGTTGTCTAAGACCGTCAATCATAGATACTTAAGACCGTCAATCATAGATACTTGAGTTGTCTAAGACCGTCAATCATAGATACTTGAGTTGTCTAAGACCGTCAATCATAGATACTT